CTTGACGATCTGGCGGTTCGCTTCGTGCTGAACATGCCAGACGAGGAGAAGAACGACCCCATTCGCATCTGCTTTCAGATGGAGGTCGCCTTCTGGTTCTACATTGACTTCTACTGCGAGACAATGCCCAACTTGCCTCGACTGAAGCTGCGCAAGTTTGCCTACATCATGTTCGAGCACATCCCCAGGTTGCACAAGTTTCTCGACCCAGAGGTCTTCGATAAGGTTTGTGTGTTTGGAGAGCTAGAGTCTTCTCACCAGCTTCGCCCGATTGCATCAGTTCTATTTCAAATTCTAATTCTGTGCCATCCTCCAGGTGATCACCAACTGGATCGAGTACAAGTTCAGCATTCCTTGCTCCGGCGGAGTGCTGCTTGACAAGAACCTCGAGTACGTTCTGCTCGTTCAGGGCTACGGCTCCAAAAATTGGTCCTTCCCCAAGGGAAAGGTGAACCACGATGAGACGCTGATGAACTGCGCCATTCGCGAAGTGCTCGAAGAGACGGGCTNCTTGACAAGAACCTCGAGTACGTTCTGCTCGTTCAGGGCTACGGCTCCAAAAATTGGTCCTTTCCCAAGGGAAAGGTGAACCACGATGAGACGCTGATGAACTGCGCCATTCGCGAGGTGCTCGAAGAGACGGGCTACGACTGCTCGCACCACATTTACGAAAACGTCGCCATTGACCGAAACATTCTAGAGTCCGTCTGTCGACTTTTTNTACGACTGCTCGCACCACATTTACGAAAACGTCGCCATTGATCGAAACATCCTAGAGTCCGTCTGTCGGCTCTTCATCGTCACCGACGTGGACATGGACTACAACTTTCACCCGCACGTTCGCAATGAGATTCGCAGCATTCAGTGGTTCGCCGTCAACGACCTGCCGATGCGACCCGTCAAGAAGGCCGGCCAGGGCTGCTCACAGCCTACTACTTTCTCCAAGTTCTACACAGTGTATCCCTTTGTTCCGCTAATACGAAAGTGGATCGAGAAGGAGCGTCGACATCGACGAAAGTTGACCAGGAAAGTCGATCGCCAGAGGACCTTCACAAATGGCTCCTACAGCGAGGGGCCGACGGCGGGCAGCGGCAGTGGCAGCGGCGACGACCTTGCCTCCTCCTCCAACACCGTCAGCCCCTTCACCGTGGTGGAGGATGGCAACCTCAGCCTGGCCACAACGGTGGAGAACAAGTCGACCAGCTTTGTGGACGTCAAGCTGGACGACATTTACGCCGATGACTCGATGATCGTTTCGACGAACAATGTCATGGTAAACAACGGCGCAAACAATCTGCACGAACAAAGCGTGGTCGGCTTTCCCGTCTTCAACGCTGACTCTGACCCGGAGAGCGGCACTTCGCCCAAGGAAGACCCCCACCAGGTAAGATCATACTTTGTTTATCCTTTTCTAGCTAACACTTCTTTTCTCCAGCACTCAAAAACTTCCTACCCGACCAGCTGGCAGGCACTGGTCAACGCCTACAATCGCTCAAACACCATTCACACGCCCATTGGCTACGATTTGATGGTCGCAGGCTCTCGTCGTGGTGGCGGCGGTAACGGCGGGGGACCAATAGCAATGTCGACGCCTATGAAAGGACAGGCGCCTCCGCCGATGTTTGGGCCCGTCTCCTCGAATGGCGTCATCAGGGCGGAAGACTTGGAGGCAGCGCCGCCGCCACCTCAACAGCAGCAGCAGCCGGATGGCGCCCAGCTGCACAGTCTACTGGGCTCAAAGGCGATGACCTGCGGCGATAAGCTCAACTTTCTCTTCAGCATGGCCGCCACTAATCAGCACACCGCATCATCATCAACATCGGCGTCGGCAACTCCGCCGCCACCACCACTGCTGCAGCAGCAGCCGCTGTCGATGCCCAAAGTGGTTCAGCAATCGGAGCCACAGCAAAACTACCAGCATCCACAACAGATGATGCAGCAGCAGCAAGGGCAACAACAGCCACCGCCGCCCTCCGTGGACTTGATGAGCTTGTTCTCCAACGGATTGCCTTCTTCAATGGGCGCCGCAGCTCCTGTTGCAGCTGCAGCCAGCGCCTCCAATGTGCCCGCCTTTAATGGCCTGTCGATGCTCTTTGCGTCATCGAGGATGACTACAACGACAACGACGGCGGCGGCGGAGACGACTCATCTCAATGTTGGTGGCCAGCCGTCACGCCAGTCAACGCCAAGCAACCAGCAGCAGCAGCAGCAGCAGCGACAGCAGAATTCGGCGGCCTTCAAGCCTTCAAGCAAACAGCAGCCGCAACAGCAGCAACAACAACAACGACAGTCGGCTCTCTCCAGCAGCTCGCAGTCGTCCAAGAGTTCACCCTTTGGAGCGATTGGCTCCTCGACGAAGCAGCAGCTGCAGCAGACCTTTGATCGGATGCTTAGCGGTGCAGGTGCCGGGGCCGCTGTACTCTCGCCCACTGTTTCATATCTGCAAACGTCATCGCGAACCTGCTCGCCGGGACCGCAATTCCCGCCATTACAACAACAACCACCGGCAGCAGCATCAGCTTCGGGTTATCCTCCCGACGGACAGACGGTGCTCACCGAGACTACGGCTGCGTTCTTTGCCGCCGCCACCGCCGCCGCCACCACCGCTGCCAGTTCTGGCGGCCCCTCTGGCACTGAAACGACGACGACGACCACCACCGTGGAGGAAACCACCACCACCAACTCCTACGGCGTCTACCAGCTCTTTGGCAATCGAGCCACCAACATCATGGCCAATCACGCTCAGCAGCAGCAGTTCCCACAGCAGCAACAGCTTCCACAGGCTGAGCAGCAGCAAGTTCAGCCAGCCGCCGCCGCCAACTACAATGGCCTCAGCCCGAAGGTGGTCCCCGAGGTGCAGGCGAAGATTCGACTACTCATTGACCGCCTCAAGTTTCTCAACGGGGACTGAACCAGGAAGGTGAAGGAGCGAAGTAAATGAAGTTCACTGAGGGTGATGAACTAATGGACTGAGGCGGCGCTGCAGACAGGCCTGTTGCGCAGNCCCCGAGGTGCAGGCGAAGATTCGACTACTCATTGACCGCCTCAAGTTTCTCAACGGGGACTGAACCAGGAAGGTGAAGGAGCGAAGTAAATGAAGTTCACTGAGGGTGATGAACTAATGGACTGAGGCGGCGCTGCAGAAGAAGCCTGTTGCGCAATGCCTCAAAGTGCAACATTCAAAGAAGAGTACTACACACTACGCCACGGCACAGATTCAACACAAACACCACCAACACGCATTCCCGGCACCAGCTACAGCACCACCACCACCTACCTACTTTTTTTTGCCCCCAACTTTTTGACCCAGACCTTGAAACACACCAGCACATGAATTTCCATACACTTTTTATCCGTTCATCACACATTTGATTCGTTCCAAACACCACCACCACACCAGACAAAAAACACTTCCCCACAATAGTAGTAGGATACAAGCACTTTTATTAGTAGCGACACCAAAAAGTAGAATGAAACACAGTAGTAGTGAAACACAGACAACCAACAAAAAGGATACAAACAAAAGCCGTGTTACAGAGAACAAAAAAATTGCAAATAAAAAAGAAATGCTGGTGCCCAAAAAGAACCTTGAACAGAAAAAGTGTTAGTTGAGAGAGTATGGTAGTACAAAAAGAGAAGAAAGGGAGGGTAAAAAAGTACACAAGTTGAAATGCAGTAAAAATGAGCGCAGAAACGCGTCAATGATGAGCTTGAAGAGGTGATGATAGTATAAAATATATAAAAATAAAATTGTAGTAATGCTGCCGAAAAAGGAGGAAGAAGAAGAGGAAAAGAGGTTAGCAACGTAGATTAGTTGAAAAGGGTAGCTGAAAATGTGTCCGGGTAGATGAGAAAAGAAGAAGAGAGGTTATCACAGTCAAAACAAGAATTGAAAAATTGTGTGTGTGTAATTAATTAGCTTGTGGCCAGAGAAGGTCGTCGTGGTCGTCGTCCTCTTTCATCATCGTCTTCCTCTTCTGCTGCTAAAAAGCGTTGCGAAAAAAATGTAAGTTGTCCAAAAGAAGGAAGGAAGGATTGTGCCGGTGATATGTCTGTGAATGCAGTTCACAGTTCGTTTTGGACCACGGCTGTTCAAGCAAAGAGAGAACCAACCTCTCCTTGACGCCTGAGATTCAAGAGTGGAAGAAGAGAAAGATGAAGTGGACGTTGACGAAAGAGGAAGAGAAGGTGTGTGTGTGTGTGTTCGGAAGTACTTCGTAAGGAGGAGGAGAGTTGTAGCAGTGTAGTGTGAGCAGATGATGGTGAGGGTGATGAGGGTGATGATAAGCATCAACTTTTGTCGGTTGTTTTCAACGGTAGTGGGCACTGGAGTAGGAGTGCGCGGCGTACGTGGG